AGCAGCAGCAGCAGTAATGGTAGTGGTAGTGGCAGTGGTAGTGGTAGTGGTATTGGTAGTGGCAATCGAAGGTCTTCCTGCTGCTACTCCTACTACGGCTGCTGCTGCTGCTATTACAGGTGTAGCAATAGTAGTACTGTAGTGTACCAGCAGATGGAGACATGCCCATGTTCGCAAACTTGGGACTCAGCTAGCCGCCGCTAACCCACCTAGACTCTGCCACGGAGATCGATAGGCGATCACCAACCCTGTGTGTGCCTGGCCTGGCGCAGATGTTGCAGAGCATCCTGCGAGTTTTGCATCTGCTGCTGCATGGAGCTCCGCAGCTTGCTTTGTGACTCGTGCACGGCACCAGCCAGCGGCAGCCGCGGGTCCCAGTTTCCACCGGAGTTCAGCGGCTGGGCCTTCAAGGGCAAACAACATCTTGGGCTCACAGGCACACACTATGCAAGCCTTCTTTGCCAGACCGAAGATGTCTGAAACACAAACATGAAAGTGAGAAAGGGGCCATCAATCCCTGCAGAAACCTGTGCTGTAGAAAACTGCATGCTCGCAAGTGCCTCGAGAAATTCCTGGAGCTCGTGCATCTCAGACTCCAGGCGGCGGTTTTCCGCAACCAGGCGTTCGGAAAGGGCTGTGCAGTCGGGGGCGTGCGTGGAAGAGACCAAACTTTGTGCAGCCTGCAGCAACGAGTCATGGTGCTTCTTCGCCATCGATGGCGGGTTCAGGTTGAATGGCTCCTGAGTGGGCCCGTGGATTTCAGGTGGGCGGGTGGCAGCCGGCGAGGTCCAGTAGGCCTGCATGGGCTTCCGCTCGACCAAGCCATGATCGCAGCGTAGGCGCAGCTGCCTCAGCTCTTCCTTGGCCTCGCGAAGCTCGTCCTCCAAGTGCCAGGCTTCTTGCAGGGCGCTCGCATTCATGCTGGGGTCGCCTTCCGCCTGCATCTGTGGCTCAGGGCAAGCAAAAACATGAACAGTCTGCGGCATACGCCACGAAGACGACAACAGAAACGGGAGTTGAACAACGCAAAGCCTGGAATTATGGGCACCAGCCTCACAAGTTTCTGAGACAGAACCACCCAACAGCAGGTTCTGAAGAACGGGATATGAAGGTCCATCAGTCTCAGCAATGATGATGGGAACTTCTGGCATGTGGTGCTGGAATTTAATGCCAACATGTTCGGGCCTCTTTCATGCCCCTAAACCCCAAACCCTCACGCAAGATGGATCACCCAACCCAGCACCCTGGGCCTCCGAAAGACTCAACTCATCGACCTCGTCGCCATCACTGTGAACCTGGTGAAGAGCAAAAATCGCACATCGTTTCAGCTTCGGAGCAAACTACTACTACTACTACTACTATTGCTACCACTCCTCCTCCTCTTGCTGCTGCTGCCGCCGCCGCCACTGCGGCTTCTGCTGCTGCTGCTACTGCTGCTGCTACCGACCACCCCCGCCGCCAATGCCACCAACACCGCCACCGTCACCGCCACGACTAAATATTCCTGCTACTGCCGGCCAGAGTGTCCGGCAAACGACACATCAAAAAACATGGAATTGTATATTTAAACTATAAGCTGACAGAGCGAGAGAGACATCCATCCATCCATCCATCCATCCATCCATCCATCCATCCATACATCCATGCATCCATGCA